CTATCTATCTATCTATCTATCTATCTATCTATCTATCTATCTATCTATCTATCTATCTATCTATCTATCTATCTATCTATCTATCTATATAGTGTTTCGAATGACTGATACAAAAGCACAAAATTGAACACATTTCATATAAACTGACACACACATTGCTTTCTGTGTATGTTAATGGTTTCTTCTTTTTACATGAGGCCTCTTAGCCCACTCTTTGTGATAATATATTTTATAAAGAGGACTGTAGCAACCTGTTTATGTATTTATTAAATATACTTGACTCTAAATGTCATTTTCACCTGCTATTTTGGGACTACACAGCACTAAGTGCACATTCGGTCAGTTCAAAAATAAGCCAGTTAGTAGTGAGCACTGAGTTAGTAGTGTTTGCTAGTCCATCCATCCATCCATCCATTTTCTGTACACGCTTATTCCTTCAAGGATCGCGGGGGTCACTGGTGCCCATATCCAGCAGTCACAGTGCGAGGGGTGGGGTACACCCTGGACAGGTCGCAAGTCCATCACAGGGCCATCAACATCTTGAATTTTTAGGCCACACTAGTTGACCAGTGAGAATAAACTGTGCACCAATTAATCAGTCCAACACAATCATTAAATCATTTGATCTACTTGTGCATTAAAAAACTAATGATTTGGGATTTTATTTTGTTTTGTTTATTTTTTTGTGTGTGTGTGTGGGGGGGGGGGGGGTGCAGTTACTAATGTAGCAAAACAACTGGCTTATAGGACTTCTGCTCCCACTATTTGAGAAAAGTGCCACTAGTTGGAAAAAAAATTGTACAATTGATATCAAGGATTTTAATTTAATACACAAATGGCTTGCCATAATTGAGACTTAATAGCAAAGATTGTGTTACAGCCGGAAGCTCTTCCATCACCTTTATGCTTTGTTAAAGACACGTCAAACCAGTCAGCAGCATTATGCAAAACTTTGCATAACAACAGTTTAGATCACAGATTATAAACTTTATAACAATGCAGAAAGAACAACGTCTACACTATTTGTTTGTGCAAATTCTCTGACGGCCTCCATCTAATTTGTTCCGGTCATTTTGCAATGTTGCCACATTAAAGGTATAGTCCGTATCTTTTGAAGTGGGGTAAGCAAGCTACAACCAAAGTGGATTTTGTCTAAAAAAAAAAAAACTATTCCTAAAAATGTAATAAATGTTTACACTGAAGATAACATAATATTTCAGCTGAAAGTGTAAGAGTAAAGACTCCCACCTAATTTAAGCAGAGTGGTGTGGGCCTGTGCTCTGACACACTGACACACTTTACAAAACAGAAAAAGTTAATAATTATAGTCTTATATCACTRAACATTGTTTTACACTGCTTGCATTAAAGACAATAACAACATATTGTTCTCAGGCTGAGGCCTTGATGAATGAAACCCTACACCGAGACAATAACTTGTTTTCCTTTCAGGTCAAACATCCCCTCGAGTTTTCATTGTTTCCCAGCACCGTCTCCCCCACTTTCTTATTTCTGTGCAAAGAGTACATTTCCTACAGCAGCTCCCCATGTGTGTGTGTGTGTGAGTGTGTGTGAAGGAAATGCCCTTCAGTAGCTTTATGTCTAAATTTAGAGGCCTCTCCRTCCAGCTGTCACAGGCTGGGCCGGACTGTCGGACTCTCAGGAAAAAGACTCGAGGCGTGTTGAAGTCAGGATAAAGTGCGTAAGTTTTGGGTGTGCTCAGTTGAGAAAAGAAAAAAAAAGAGAGAGAGAAGAGCTATAAATAAACAGTGGTAGGGCTGGCATTCAGGAAGTGCAAATGGGGTAGAGGTGCTGGTTGATTTGCCACTTTCTTTTTCAAAACCAGTTATCTATTTAAAAACTAAAATCATCTTATGTTGAAAAGAGAATTACAGCCATTTTGGTCAAACCCAGAATTTAATAGTATGAACAAAAATTAAACTCTTGTGAATGGTTCTCAGCTGCGATCTCGTTAAATTTTAACCCTACATCTGTATAACTGACAAAGTTATAGCTTCTTTGGTGCGGGTTAATGATAACTAGCTGTGACGTCCATTTTGAATTCAACTGACTCCAAATGTAAATCAGTCGTAGATGTACAWCCCGTGATTTATTTTTAAAAGTTTCATTAGAATCCTTTTGGTGGTTCATGAGATATTTTGCTAACAGACAAATAAGGTTGACTCCAACAGTTAAAGCTAAAGTTTGAAGCAAATATCTCACACTAAGCAGCCCTTTGAGMTTTTGTTGTGAATAACTCTCATCTACTACCACACCATGTTTTAGCTCAGTTTCTGTAAATCTAACTTGATTATAGCCATTTTGTTATTTTCTACTTTGAGCTGGCTATGGCAGCCATCTTATTTGGAACTGACTCCAAACATTAATCAGCTATAGATGCACATCTAATGATTATTTCCTGAAAGATTCATTAAAATCTATCTAATTGTTCAGGAGAAGGTTTGCTAACAGGCGGGCAAGGTTCACGCCAATTAGTTAAAGACAACATTTTAAAGAAAACTCTGTCACGATCAGTTTAGGGTCAAAGTATGTGCAGGGGCTAAGTCTCAGCTATGACCATATCAAATCTGAAGCCAGAATCTGTAAAATTGATTGAGTTATTGAAGTTTTTGTGCTTTTTTAAATGTAACTTAGCTGTGTCAGCCATCTTTAGTAGGTCAAAAACCAAAGCACTCTCCCAGAATAGAAGCACATATTTCATCCAGTGATCTAATCTGTGTGAAGCGATGACAGATTTTAAATTCTAACACGTTCCCGTCCCACAGTCGAGCTCAACCTGCTCCTTGTCTGTTTGATTGTGAAATGTGCCAGTCTGACTGTCACTTTGGGTCTTTATTGACTCAGATCCTGACAGACCACCTGCCCCTCGCCCCCCCGCTAATTTGATTTTGCTTGGTAAGACAGAGACGATCAGAGCCGAGCGCCACTCTTGGTTTTGTTTCAGTTTGTCCTAACCTGCTTCGTCATGCCACCGTGGAAGGAATCCTGCTTCTCATATATCGAGCTGGACTGCATTGAATTCCTCAAGAGTTTCCATCGAGGAGTAGTCAAAATTAAAAAAAAAGTTTTTAAAATAAGCCACTCTTATCGCAAAACCCGCAGATTTCAATGAGGATCTTACAAGATCTAAAAGTGCTCAGAATATGTGTTGAGGATTACTCTCAGCCACTGCAATCCCAATTTTTAGCTCAATTTCTGCAAACCTAACTGAGCTATGGCCATTTTTGTGTTTACTAAGGTTGATTAGCTGCGGTGGCCACCTTGAATAAGGTTGACTCCAAAATTTAATCAGTTTTAGATGTGAATCCAGTGGCTAATTTTTAAAAGTTTTATTAAAATCACTTTAGTGGTTCATGAGATATTTTCCTAACAAACAAAAGATGAATAGCATAAAAGCTGTTTAATGTGGCAATCTCCTTGGTCATGGCCACAGCCTAGCTCAGGCAGGTTAGCTTTTAGCATATCTGAGTTAGCAATAGCCGGACGTGAAACTTTTTTTTTTTTTTCAAACTGAGGCAGGTATATTAGTTGCTCATAACATCTCAGTTTAAAACACTGAACTATCCCTTTAAATGACTCAGCTCTAAAGCAGTGTTGTTATTTAACCGTCCTCTGGCGCCATCTAGTGGCCTTTTACGTAAAACGTCTCGTCCCGACGAGGTCAAAGTTCAATGCCCAAAACCAACATGGCGGTTCGCTTGAAAGCACCCTTGGTGCTGAAGGCTGTGAAGAAAATAGTGATTGAATTCTGTCCTTTCGAGCCCAATGTCCGGTCCACGCGGTAAGGAAGAGTTTGTTGCATGTTATTGTTATGTTTGTGTGTTTTTGTGAGGGAGGTAGTAGTAATTTGGCGGCCGATTGCGACAAAAACCGGCAGTCGATCGTCACGACGGAAAAGGTCGTTTTTGCATCAAACCTCTGGCTTTGCTGCTCAGCTTTATTTAAATACGGATATAATCTAGGGTAGCTATAAAGGAAATTAAATAAAACTCTAGCGGAGGAAGGGAAGATAGTTTTATTTATAAAACACTCGAGACAGTTTTTTTCTGACATATTTCAACAAAGAGAACAGAAAATTTACAGCTTCTAGCTACAATTTTGCTACTTTTAGCCGGGTTTTTTTTAATCTAGCTTTTAATTAGTGTTTTACTTCCTTTATCTTTTAGTTAGGTTCAGTGACTTTGTCTGGTTGAATGTTATATTGCAAACGTTGATCATTCAAATGAATAAACRTGTTTAATGAATGTCCATCAATATTTTCCTGAAAAAAATGTACGTTTTTGTCAAAGCGGCGTACCTGATTGGACAGAACTGATCGTCTCTAAGTCGTTGCTTCATTTTGAGATAAATTGTACTCCTTGATTGTTTTGGTTCGTTGACTTGACTTCTTGGTCTGTTTGGCCCCACAGGGAGTTTCTGACCGCGGTGGGCTCCATGAAGATCCGATCCACCAACCTGAACTGTGAGATGACGACCAACGTCAAACACGACAAGTCCGAGCCCRTCGTCGATGTAACTTACGGTGAGGATGGCTCTGTGATGGTCCCAGTTTGGCAGTGATGTTCAACACCACAAAATTTTTTTCTGAATCTGATACAGCCTAAAACGGGCTGGTATTGTTTCACTGATCCAGTACTGATACTCTGAGTCAAACACACCTAATATGTCTGAACCTCTCATAAACACATGAGCTAGAGATGCAAAAATAAAAACTAAATGTCAGTCCTTAAATGCAACATCTTAAAACAAAATAGGAGTTTTGTTATGATGTGATGCAGCTCATTATTTATTAAACTAACAGAGCCAAAGGACGAGTGTTTGCCTCAGTAGTAGTTTTCTCCTCTTTGTGCTGCACTGTGTCTTTCTGAGTCATAATGTATGTTTTTATAATTGCAGTTGATGGGGAGAGGCTGATCATGAAGGGAGCTCATTTAACCTGCCAGGAGATGATGGATGCCTTTCAGTCCCGCTGCATAGACAAGGACCCCCAGGCGAAAGCTGCAGCGAAATGATCTGCTTCCTGYATGAATGTGTTTATCTGTGTGTTTAAAATGTCCAATAAAAACAATATCCTTCATTTTTACATGTTGATCCTCGCTGGTTCTTTTGTCCGGGTCAGTGCGGTGTGGCAGTGTTTGCACAATGTGACCTTTTTTCTTTTTTTTCTAATAAAAGGCTCATCCACGAGGACGTTGTGCAACAACAAACCTCTGACCCGACGGGCGGCGAAACAGTTTGGAACAAAGGTTTATAYGCAGAGTTACAAAAAGGGAAATAAAAAAAAACACAGATCATTCTGTTAAACATCCTTTTTTAATCATGACCTCCTCCACTGGTTTTGCTCAACTCAGTGGTTTTGTTTTACACTTCCTGTTTTGTTTATATCTGYTGTTTTTAATGAAGGAACACGTCACACTCCACCGTTTCTTCCTCAGTCTTACATTCTGCCRACGTTCAGGTTTTTATTTTGTCGACCTCCATATTTTTGTGGATTTTATACTGAACATCAAAACCTCTGCTCTGTTTGACTTTTGTAATAAAATATCTATTTTTGCCTAAGTCAATTCCACGTTAAGGGAATTTTCAATACGATTGCTCAACTCACTGTTTTATGTAAATCTATGTAAACATAATCAATCCTGACCAGAGACGCCATTTATTTTATGGAAGATGATTGGGGCCACAGGAGACGGGCACCAGTGACCCTGAAAGGAAGCGGGTTAAGATAATGGATAGATAGATTAGGGCCACAGAGCAAACCAGTAAATAAAATAAATTAATACAAATTCTRGAGTTCTGACTAGAATAAAAGTCAGAATTGTGACTTTAAATTAGATTTTTTTTCTATAATTTGTTTCTCATGTTCTGACTTCAATATCAGAATTCTAGAAAATAAATCAGAATTTTGACTTTTTTTCTTGAACTTGGAGATTAAAGTCAGAATTCATATATTTTTTAAAATATTCAAATAAAATAATCAGAACACTGACTTAAGTTTAATCTGACTTTTTCTTAGAATTTCATAGTTTGATTAAAACCAGCCCCTTATCTTAATATAGAAGTCAGATGACCAGTTTAATCGTAGTTTTTCTCAGAAAAAATAGACATATTTATGAGATTATAGTGACTTTTTCAAACCTAATAAAACAGTCAGAATTTGTATTTTAGTTTAATCTGATTTATTTATTTATTTTAGAAAAATAGTCAGAATTGCCAGACGTCAGAACTCAAATAAAAAACTTTATTTGTTTGTTTATATTATATTCATTCATTCATTCATTGCTCATTTGTCTTCCGTAATTTTGTTGTTGATGCTAGTTTAGGCAGGAGGCGGGATCTAAGCTGCCGTGTGACGTAGCGCGCTGTGATTGGTTCCTGCAGCGCGTCAGAAACAGCTCCGGCCCTTTAAAAGCTSTCAGCCCGCGGCTGAAGGGAAAGAGTTTGGCTCAGAGGTTCAGAGGAACGTTTTCTGGTGAATATCGTCGAAACAAGTCGCTGCCAAGATGGTTGAGAAGTTTATCGGAACATGGAAGATGATTTCCAGCGAGAACTTTGACGAATACATGAAAGCTCTTGGTAAGACTTTTAAAGAAAACATGAATTAGAGCCTTAATTGAAATTTTAACTACTGTATTGTKTTTATAGAGTTGCTTGGAACACTTTTTGTATTTATTTATTATAAAAAATGTGTTCGTGTGTGGAGGGAACGTTAATTTGAGGCGTTTATTTTGCAGTTTTAAATGCTTGTAATTTACTTCCTCCGCTGCAGGTGTGGGATTTGCGACCCGCCAGGTGGGGAACCGAACCAAACCCAACTTCGTCCTGAGCCTGGACGATCAGGGAACCATTTGCATGAAGTCTCAGAGCACCTTCAAAACCACTGAGGTCAAGTTCAAGCTAAACGAGCCTTTCGAGGAGACCACTGCCGACGACAGGAAGACCACGGTCAGTGTCTGTTAATAACAAATAACCACAATCTGACATTGTTGTGCTGGACTTATTTTAATACCTGGATTTTATTTTTTTTTTATTTTTCTCTCTGTAGAGTGTGGTGACTCTGGAAAATGGGAAGCTGGTGCAGAAACAGAGCTGGGATGGCAAAGAAACTAGCATTGAGAGGGACATATCTGATGGCAAATTGATAGCGGTAAGACTTTTATTTTGAAGTGCAAAAAGGTTTGCTTTTAAAGTTCAATTTAAAGCTGCATTAGTAACAAATGAACTAATGTGGGAATAAGTAACACATTCACAAATTTAAAGAAAAGCTAAAGCCAAATCAGGAAAATAAGTGTAATTTTGATCTAACCCAGCTGGTCTYGTTCCCCCTGCAGAGATGCATCATGGGAGATGTGGTTGCAGTGAGGACGTACGTGAAGGAGGCGTGACCCTGCCCTCGTTAACAGCACTGCTGGATGAGGCTCAGTTCAATGAGCGTGAACCCAACCTGAAGGAGCGTCTCGTTCCACTCAAACCTCTGTTACCAAAGTCAGATTTTTGTACCTCTTCTGCAAATCTGCTTGATTTGTAAATTTGAATTAAAAAAAAAAAAAGAAATGACTGCATACAAATTGAGTTTGTGCCTGAGTTCATTGACTTTAGTGATGCTTTTCTTGGTGCATTCAGTAAGAAATTGTTGCGTCCATTTGCACGGCCTCCAGTGTTAAAGGTCAGCAGGAAAAATGTTTTTCTTGTTTGGGAAGCAGCAAGTCTCCCGTGGCGTGCTTTAAATTTTACTCCCCCCACCCTTTTGGCTCGTTCCAGAGCGGACCACCACTTTCCCACGTCAGGAAAGGGGAGTCTGGTACTGATTTGAGCGTAATGACCAAAACAGCTGAACCTGGTGGAACTCTGAGCCAACGATCTGTTCAACCAGGACAATAGAGCTGCAGGGCTGGGATGTGAGCTTGTTGGGAAAGAAGCCAAAGAACTGCTGCAGTTAGCCGAGGTCAGACTGATGCTGTCACTGGACAGAGTAAATTTACTGTAATACTTTCAGGAGCTGTATCTAATTTGAATCTTAACTTGTGCTTTTATTGTACTTCAAAATGAGACTTTACACACAATTAAAGTAGTTCTAATACTTACTGATTAGAGCCGTTGACTTTTTACTAAATACTTTTTACCAAGTCCTTTTTCTAATAAAGTACTCTAAACTTCCAAATCATGAAGCATTTTATTAACCTTATTGCAATTTATCTTTTCCTCTGCAGATCCTAATCTGAAGTTCTCATTTATTCTGATAATGCATTTTTAAATCACTTTCAATTAATGCATTAATTCCCAAATGTTTTAGCTTCACTTAAAAAATAAACTGCAGAAGCTTAACCCCATCTACTGAAATATAAATTGCTTAAGTATTAAGATCTAAATAAATGCTTGTTTACATAAATTGCAGCTCCATTTAGTTAAAATGAKTTTAAGAAATCTCTTTATAAAGCTGCAGATTTTATTTTAATTTTTTTGGTACACATTGTGAAAGCACATCTGCTGTGGATTAACTTACAGGTGCCCTGCTCAAAAGTCAACAAGGCGTCTGCATCATTTTGTTTGGAGAACTGCAGGGAACAGTCTTCACCCCTCCAGTATAGTTTTTCCAGACAACTTGTTCTGTAACTGGTGTTTAAATGAGTCCCATCCTACAAAACAACTGAACTTTTAAAGTTATGGGAAACAATAAGCATCGAATCCAAGAGCTATTTTTTTTTACCCAGAATGCACGAGGCTGAGACTTTCTTTGACCATCTGGGACAAACAGGATAGAAAGGGAGGGTTTTCACTGGAAAGAGGTTCGGATATCCCTCCGCTGCTCTTAGATTAAAAAAATAAACATTACAGATTAGTGTTTCCAGGAGGCAAATAGGGAAGGAACTGTAAGGATGAAGAAAAGATGTGAGAACCTGACATGATTTATGGAAGAAATACACATAATCCATTGATTTAACTCACAAAGACCAACAATGAGCAAAAACAAGAATAAAATACAGATGATAAATAAAAAAAAAGCAGTGTGTTTAAATAAAAGAAAAAAGACGTGTGCTCTCGTGTCTGATGGAGGATGACATCTGATCGACGCGGGGCTTGTTTGGTGTCATTAGAGACCGAGGAACAAAGTCACATCCTTAACAAAACATCTGGAAGGCTGCAGGGTCGACACCCTTCCTCTGCCTGTCCTCAGCTTCAACTCAACACAAACACCTTTCATGTTCAAGTGCTTCAACGAACATCCATGATGTGCTGGATGAGCTTCAACGACATGACCTCTGACCCCTGATGCTTTGTTGCTTGGTGAGCATCTTTAATTCCCCTTATGGCTATTCATCACAAAAATGAAGGAAATTAGTGTTTGGTGAATTATTCCTCTGTCTTTTATTAATATTTTTGTTGTTTTCAACAAGTTGTATCTAATACTTATTCTGTGATTCAGGAAGGCAACAAACGTTTGAAGGCATGTTGAGGAATGAAGCCCAGTTTTGTCTCAGGCTGAATACAGTTTCCATCACAACTTAATCTGCACTGCAGAGCCCAAATCAGGGGTAAAATTGTTCCTGTTTATTTTCACMTCAAAAGACATGTAGATAAGGATCAGGCTAATAAAAGATTGTTTTTTTACTTTTTGATTGTGTTTTTTGATGTTTGTGAAATAGTTTTTTTTCTATATAAATATTAAGTGTCTGAAAATACCTCAAGCTTCTTGCTAAAAGCTACTTTTTATAACTACAACTAAAATTTAAAGGGATCCCTGATTAGTTGTAACATTAGGCTTTATTTGAAAAACATATGTTTT